GTGTAGCCATACCACCCAACTTTGGAACTTGAGAAAGAGGGGCAGTTTGGAAAGAAAAGGACAGGCAATGCTCAAATAGGGTAATAAATATATAGTAAGCGCTCAACAACAGTAGCAGCAGCTGAACATATAGGAAAACGCATATAAAGTCCCACAATTCATATATATAAAAAAATGCAGCGCTTAGGGAAGTGATAATAAAACACAGTCCGATGAGAGAAGTGCTCCGTGATTCCTAGTGCAAATGGTAAAAATTCACACTAACCAGACAGCGCGAAAATATACGCATGTGTGTATATATCCTGAAGAATCTCCTCTCCACTCAGATCTAGTCAAAGGAATAGCCGGAAAAGATAGAAGTCCTACGCCCTCATGTGGTGAAAGAATGTCCAGCAGGTCAGAGAAATATCTGGGTAAGCCTCCCCCTTCACAGGAGCTGACACAGGGATCACTTGGGGCTGTAAGAATTGAAGAAGCTCCTCACAGGAGACATAGGGAAGTACTCATAGTGTAGTAGATAAGGCTTTATTATGAGAACATAGGTGCATAGTGAACAGGGTATATAGCAAGTATGAATGAACACACTGACCCTTAGAAAATAAAGATGGCCGCCGGGCCTCCTCGTGGCACTGGCGGCTTAGTGTCAACGGCGTCCTGGGTCCCATCTGACGCGTTTCGTGCGCACGCACTTCAGAGGTGGAACAATTGTGCGTGCACACGAAACGCGTCAGCTGGGACCCAGGACGCCGTTGACACTAAGCCGCCGGTGCCACGAGGAGGCCCGGCGGCCATCTTTATTTTCTAAGGGTCAGTGTGTTCATTCATACTTGCTATATACCCTGTTCACTATGCACCTATGTTCTCATAATAAAGCCTTATCTACTACACTATGAGTACTTCCCTATGTCTCCTGTGAGGAGCTTCTTCAATTCTTACAGCCCCAAGTGATCCCTGTGTCAGCTCCTGTGAAGGGGGAGGCTTACCCAGATATTTCTCTGACCTGCTGGACCATTCTTTCACCACATGAGGGCGTAGGACTTCTATCTTTTCCGGCTATTCCTTTGACCAGATCCAAGTGGAGAGGAGATTCTTCAGGATATATACACACATGCGTATATTTTCGCTCTGTCTGGTTAGTGTGAATTTTTACCATTTGCACTAGGAATCACGGAGCACTTCTCTCATTGGACTGTGTTTTATTATCACTTCCCTAAGCGCTGCATTTTTTATATAAATGCTCAAATAGGGATTCATGAAAGGGCTGTAGGGTGCACACTAGAAGTGTCAGTCCTTTGCCTGATTCATGTACCTGGCATGGCCAGGTTTTTGATGTTCCCAAATGTCTGAAGTGACGCTGGGATGTCCACATTCATCCTCAGTGCATTCACAATGACAGGCGCATGGCTGGGAGTTTTGTACTAGATGGTGAGACTAGTTCCCCATCAGGTCCACTCTACTTTTAGCATGGATGCAGCCTCTCATGACATACTGATACCGGCTTGTTTATACTTGCTTCCACCTTAACACACATTAACCCAAGGCTTGAAAAGCCGCTAGCCCGCTCGCCAAATGCGAGGAGAAATTCTTCTCTGGCAAGTGGCTGCGAGCTGTGAGCACAGATGAAGTATGGAGCGACTGCACCTGCGCTCCAAGCCTCATTGTGAAGCCCAGTTCCGGTTTCCAACTTCCGGTTTCTGGCTTCTGCGGCACTGCCACCGAGGGGACAGGTGCAGGAGAGATCCACTCTTCTCCGCTAAGAGAAGACACCCTCTCCACTGTCGCGGGGGGACTCGGGGGGACAGTAAGTACTGTATACAAAATGTCCCATCACTATAATGGAGTACAGGGGAGCTGGGATATACATTACTGTATACATGTCCTATCACTATAATGGAGTACAGTGGAGCCGAGATATACATTACTGTGTACATGTCATATCACTATAATGGAGTACAGGGGAGCCGGGATATACATTACTGTGTACATGTCATATCACTATAATGGAGTACAGGGGAGCCGGGATATACATTACTGTGTACATGTCATATCACTATAATGGAGTACAGGGGAGCCGGGATATACATTACTGTGTACATGTCCTATCAATATAATGGAGTACAGTGGAGGCGGGATATACATTACTGTGTACATGTCCTATCACTATAATGGAGTCCAGGGTAGCCGGGATATAGATTACTGTGTACATGTCCTATCACTATAATGGAGTACAGGGGAGCTGGGATATACATACTGTGTACATGTCATATCACTATAATGGAGTACAGGGGAGCCGGGATATACATTACTGTGTACATGTCCTATCAATATAATGGAGTACAGTGGAGGCGGGATATACATTACTGTGTACATGTCCTATCACTATAATGGAGTCCAGGGGAGCCGGGATATAGATTACTGTGTACATGTCCTATCACTATAATGGAGTACAGGGGAGCTGGGATATACATACTGTATACATGTCCTATCACTATAATGGAGTACAGGGGAGCCGGGATATACATTACTGTGTACATGTCCTATCACTATAATGGAGTCCAGGGGAGCCGGGATATACATTACTGAGTACATGCCCTATCACTATAATGGTGTACAGTGGAGCCGGGATATACATTACTGTGTACATGCCCTATCACTATAATGGTGTACAGTGGAGCCGGGATATACATTACTGAGTACATGCCCTATCACTATAATGGTGTACAGTGGAGCCGGGATATACATTACTGTGTACATGTCCTATCACTATAATGGAGTACAGGGGAACCGGGATATGCATTACTGTGTACATGTCATATCACTGGACCAGGGTATCACTTAGCTCCTCTGACAGTCTGAGGTGCAACTTGGCGGTGTCGGATGGACCGAAACATGATATCCCAGAGGTGTTCTATTGGATTTAGGTCAGGCGAGCGTGGGGGCCATTCAATGTTATCAATTCCTTCATCCTTCAGGAACTGCCTGCATACTCTTGCCACATGAGAAAGGGCATTGTCGTGCACCAGGAGGAACCCAGGGCCCATTGCACCAGCGTAGGGTCTGACAATGGGTCCAAGGTATTCATCCCGATACCTAATGGTAGTCAGGGTGCCATTGTCTAGCCTGTAGAGGTCTGTGCATCCCTTCATGGATATGCCTCCCCAGACCATCACTGACCCACCACCAAACCGGTCATGCTGAAAGATGTTACAGGCAGCATAATGTTCTCCATGGCTTCTCCAGGCCGTTTCACGTATGTCATGTGCTCAGGGTGAACCTGCTCTCATCTGTGAAAAGCACAGGCTGCCAGTGGCAGACCTGCCAATTCTGATGTTCAATGGCAAATGCCAATCAAGCTCTATGGTGCCGGGCAGTGAGCACAGGGCTCACTAGAGGACGTCAAGCCCCCAGGCCACCCCCATGAAGTCTGTTTCTGATTGTTTGGTCAGAGACATTCACACCAGTGGCCTGCTGGAGGTCATTTTGTAGGGCTCTGGCAGTGCTCATCCTGTTCCTCCTTGCACAAAGGAGCAGATACCAGTCCTGCTGATGGGCTAAGGACCTTCTATGGCCCTGTCCAGCACTTCTAGAGTAACTGCCTGTTAATTTTATACCTAAATTACTTAATTCCCTTTCCCTCCAGGAAAATGGGAACTCTTTTTGTAGGGCCTGCTTCGGTATCTTTGAGAGACTAATATTCAAGATCTCCGACTTTGAGGGGTTTATCTTCAGATTTGATAACTCTCTATACTGTTTTAGTAGTCTCATTAAATTTGGTAGCAATAACCTGGGATTCACCATATAGAACAACAGGTCATCTGTGTAGGCTGCTACCTTATGTTCCACTTTGCCTATCTTAATTCCTGTTACATCTACACTCTCTGACCATCGCCAGTAAGGGTTACAGAAATATTTTACACATAACACAGAGAAAGTGAACATTACCTGTCTTGTACCGTTATTTATTTTAAAGGACTGTGAGAGGAACCTGTTTACTTTTACAGCAGCTGACGGCCCACTATAAAGCCCTTTTATCCACTTTAACATTTTAGGCCCTAATCCCAGCATCTCTAACGTATCCATCATAAATCATTAATCTACCCTATCAAAAGCTTTTTCAGCATCGAACAACAAAATTATTGGTCGGCAGCTTCTCTCTCTGCTTTTTGTAAAAGAAGTCATGATCTCAGGCCATTATCCCTCCCTTCTCTGCCCAAGATGAATCCCAACTGATCTAGGTGAATGCATTCAGGCATCAGTTCTTTCTTCCTAGTTGCTAATATTTTCGCATATACCGTATTTTTCGCTCCATAAAATGCACTTTTTTCCCCCAAAAAATGGGGTAAAATGTCTGTGTGTCTTATGGAGCAGCCGGCTCGGTATTCCTTATGCCGCCACCGTGTTAGAATACCGGGCCGGCCGCTCGGCTCTACTGTGCAGAAGAACCCGCTCCTCCATCCTACCTGTTCCTCGGTCCAGCAGTGTCCTGCTTCCATCGGCCGTCTTCTCTCCCTGGCGCTGGCATCTTCAGTGTGGGCACCCGGCTGTGACAGCTTGCTGCTTCACAGCCGGGTGCCCACTGCGCATGCATGAGAAGCGCTGCGCTTTGTGAATGGCCCGGTAGTCTTGTGGGACCTGTCATGTGTCCCACAAGACTATGGGGAGGGAGGGGGGAGGAGAACTCCACCTGTCAAATTCGGGTACCCCCCCCCTCTTCCCCAAAGGTCTGCAGGCTCTGGTCATCTCCTGTACTGTGTCCGCAGTCCCTGGTCATCTCCTGTAGTAGGTCTGCAGTCTGCAGTCATCTCCTGTAGTAGGTCTGCAGTCTGCGGTCATCTCCTGTAGTAAGTCCGCAGTCTGTGGTCATCTCCTGTAGTAGGTCCGCAGTCTGTGGTCATCTCCTGTAGTAGGTCCGCAGACTGTGGTCATCTCCTGTAGTAGATCCGCAGTCCCTGGTCATCTCCTGTAGTAGGTCCGCAGTCCGTGGTCATCTCCTGTAGTAGGTCCGCAGTCTGTGGTCAGCTCCTGTACTATGGCTGCAGTCTGTGGTCAGCTCCTGTACTGTGTCCGCAGTCTCTGGTCATCTCCTGTAGTAGGTCTGCAGTCTGCGGTCATCTCCTGTAGTAGGTCCGCAGTCTGTGGTCATCTCCTGTAGTAGGTCCGCAGACTGTGGTCATCTCCTGTAGTAGATCCGCAGTCCCTGGTCATCTCCTGTAGTAGGCCCGCAGTCTGTGGTCATCTCCTGTAGTAGGTCCGCAGTCTGTGGTCATCTCCTGTAGTAGGTCCGCACTCTGTGGTCATCTCCTGTAGTAGGTCCGCAGACTGTGGTCATCTCCTGTAGTAGATCCGCAGTCCCTGGTCATCTCCTGTAGTAGGTCCGCAGTCCGTGGTCATCTCCTGTAGTAGGTCCGCAGTCTGTGGTCAGCTCCTGTACTATGGCTGCAGTCTGTGGTCAGCTCCTGTACTATGGCTGCAGTCTGTGGTCAGCTCCTGTACTGTGTCCGCAGTCTGCGGTCATCTCCTGTAGTAGGTCCGCAGTCTGTGGTCATCTCCTGTAGTAGGTCCGCAGACTGTGGTCATCTCCTGTAGTAGATCCGCAGTCCCTGGTCATCTCCTGTAGTAGGCCCGCAGTCTGTGGTCATCTCCTGTAGTAGGTCCGCAGTCTGTGGTCATCTCCTGTAGTAGGTCCGCACTCTGTGGTCATCTCCTGTAGTAGGTCCGCAGACTGTGGTCATCTCCTGTAGTAGATCCGCAGTCCCTGGTCATCTCCTGTAGTAGGTCCGCAGTCCGTGGTCATCTCCTGTAGTAGGTCCGCAGTCTGTGGTCAGCTCCTGTACTATGGCTGCAGTCTGCGGTCAGCTCCTGTACTGTGTCCGCAGTCTCTGGTCATCTCCTGTAGTAGGTCTGCAGTCTGCGGTCATCTCCTGTAGTAGGTCTGCAGTCTGCGGTCATCTCCTGTAGTAAGTCCGCAGTCTGTGGTCATCTCCTGTAGTAGGTCCGCAGTCTGTGGTCATCTCCTGTAGTAGGTCCGCAGTCTGTGGTCATCTCCTGTAGTAGGTCCGCAGACTGTGGTCATCTCCTGTAGTAGATCCACAGTCCCTGGTCATCTCCTGTAGTAGGTCCGCAGTCCGTGGTCATCTCCTGTAGTAGGTCCGCAGTCTGTGGTCATCTCCTGTAGTAGGTCTGCAGTCTGCGGTCATCTCCTGTAGTAGGTCTGCAGTCTGCGGTCATCTCCTGTAGTAAGTCCGCAGTCTGTGGTCATCTCCTGTAGTAGGTCCGCAGTCTGTGGTCATCTCCTGTAGTAGGTCCGCACACTGTGGTCATCTCCTGTAGTAGATCCACAGTCCCTGGTCATCTCCTGTAGTAGGTCCGCAGTCCGTGGTCATCTCCTGTAGTAGGTCCGCAGTCTGTGGTCATCTCCTGTAGTAGGTCCGCAGTCTGTGGTCATCTCCTGTAGTAGGTCTGCAGTCTGCGGTCATCTCCTGTAGTAGGTCCGCAGTCTGCGGTCATCTCCTGTAGTAGGTCCGCAGTCTGTGGTCATCTCCTGTAGTAGGTCCGCAGACTGTGGTCATCTCCTGTAGTAGATCCGCAGTCCCTGGTCATCTCCTGTAGTAGGTCCGCAGTCTGTGGTCATCTCCTGTAGTAGGTCCGCAGTCTGTGGTCAGCTCTTGTACTATGGCTGCAGTCTGTGGTCAGCTCCTGTACTGTGTCCGCAGTCTCTGGTCAGCTCCTGTACTGTGTCTACAGTCTCTGGTTATTTCCTCTACTATGTCTGCAGTCCATTGGTTCAGAATTTTTTTTTCTTGTTTTCCTCCTCTAAAATCTAGGTGCGTCTTATGGAGCGAAAAATATGGTAACTTACATTAGTTTCCATATTTAGTAATGATATAGGTTTGGAGCTGGCGCATTGTGCGCCATCTTTCCCTTCTTTAAGTATAATTGTCATATATGCAATGATTCTTCTCTCATTCCCAACCCTTCTCCTAACACATTTATATATGCACCTATTCTAGGCACCAGTATGTCTTTAAATTTCTTATAATAGCCCACCGTATATCCATCAGGGCCTGGGCTCTTTCCTACTGCCATACTCTTCAATGCCAAAATAATTTCCTCCTGGGAGATGGCTCTCTCTAGGGCCTCTAAATTTTCTTCTGGCATTCTTGGTAGGCCAACCTCCTTTAAATATATCTGCCTTTTTCCCTTCCTTTCCTCCTCTGCTTCTTTCTGGTCCCCATTCTTTACATCATACAACCTACCATAGTATTTTTGAAATGTATTAGTGATGTTAGTGGTGGAATATACCAATTCTCCTTTTTCATCTTTAATTTTTTTATATAATTCTTTGATTTCTTAATTACAGGATCTGTGTCAGCATCCTCAACTCTGTGGAAAGCCCACAAAGCATTTATTAGGGGTCGCTTTATAATGGAAAGCTCACGTCTTAGAAATCTATGCTCCACCATAAAACTGATCTTATGTACAATTATCCCAAGCGGGAAAAAAAAAAAAACGTATAGATTTGCCCTTTTTGCCTAAACTTCGACTAGTGGTTCAACTTAAAGATCAACTTAAGACACTTGAGGCTAGCTCTATAGTGAAGAAACTGCTATGGATGAAACAAAAGTTTTATCAATATGCTAATAAACCTCATAGGATATTGGTTAATAAACTGAAAGCACATTCGACAACTTCTGCTCCTGAATTTCTGTTTCAAACAGATGGCACCCCTACCTTTTGCCCTCAACAGATAGCTCAAGTGCTCAGAGACTTCTGTCGTAAGCTTTATAACTGCTTATCACCAGATATACACCCCCCCTTTCCATAAAGATTCCTTTTGATGCTTTTTTCTCAGCTCTTCACCTCCCTAAACTGAAAAGGGAAGATTGATTAATCCTAAAGGCACCTATTACTATGCAGGAACTATGTGCAGTTATTAAGGAGCTACCATCACACAAAGCCCCGGGACCAGACGGGTTTTCTTATACATATTAAAAGCAATTAATCGCAGATATCGGCCCTGCTTTGTTGGAATTTTACTCCTCTCTGCTGAGCGGAGAAACACCCCACTCTTAATTCCACCATTCTCATATCACAGTCATTCCCAAACCAGAAAAAAACTAACAACCCCAGCTAACTACAGGCCTATAGCATTATTAAACACGGATTATAAATGTTTTACAAAACTATTAGCAAATCGTTTGGCTCGTTTGCTTCCAGAATTATCCATAACGATCAGGTGGGATTTGTCTTAGCGAGACAGGCAGGGGACAACACTAGACGTACGATCAACTTATTTGATGTACTTCATAGCTCATGAACACCGGCACTATTGCTAAGTTTAGATGCCCAGAAGGCATTTGACCGTTTGGGATGGCCATATATGTTTGAACTACTACGGCATATGGGAATACAAGGGCCTTTTTTTAATGCTATTATGGTGCTGTATTCACGGCCTACCATGCAGGTCAAGCTCCCCTATGCCACATCCGATACTTTTCCCATGCTCAACAGAACTAGACAAGGTTGCCCTTTGTCCCCACTCCTATTTGTATTGTGTCTTGAACCACTAGCAGTAGTGATCAGAGCACACCCTGATATAGCAGGAGTGACTGTGAAGTGGAAGGAATATAAACTCTCACTTTTTGCGGATGACGTTTTATTGACAATAACTAAGCCTCACTTGTCACTACCCGAATTGCATAAACTTTTACAAACCTTTAGTGATTTATCTGGTTATAAAATAAACATTTCAAACATGGAAGCTATGCCCCTTAATATCCCATCCCAAGATCTCTCACTACTCCAACAAAATTACTCATACCACTGGTGCATGTCATCTATTAAATACCTTGGTATCCATATAACCCCAATTTATGCTCAGTTGTTTGAAGCTAACTACCCCCCTCTGTTTCGGGAAATCAAGGCTCTTCTAAACCAGTGAGATTCTTATAAGATATATTTCCTGGGTAGAGTAAATGTCTTAAAGATGTCAATTTTGCCAAAGCAACTTTACCTTTTTGAGACTCTACCAATCGCAATCCCTCATGCTCATATGCAAACCCTACAACGAGCATTTCTTAGATTTACTTGGCATGCTAGAAAGCCCAGAATAGCGAGAACAGTTCTTTTGTCATCTAGAAATAACGGCGGCTTAGGGGTACCAGATATTATCAATTACTACTAGCTACTCATCTGAGACAAACGCTATCATGGTTCACCCAAAAACCTCAGAATAGATGGGCGGAGATTGATTTAGACTATATTTATCCAATCCACACATGCTCATTATTACGCCCTTTTCACTATACATCACCTCTATCTCCTCCACCCCCTTTGTTTGAATCTATGAAATTTACCCTCAAAGTTTGCTCAACTTGTGTGAAAACTCAGCAGTTACTGTCCATGTGCTCTCCATTGTTAAACATTTTATATAATTCGGAGCTCCCAGATAGTCTGTCATACCCACAGATGAACCCTGGGGCAATTAATGGGATATTCCAACTCCGTCAATCTGGTCAATCCTGTCTCACACAGCATTCAGTCATTTGAGGAGATTAGAGCGTGGAAACCCACCATACCTGTATTGCCTAGATACACCCATCTACAGTTCCATCACTTCTTCCACTCCTTGAATTCCTCTTTAACGTTAGATTGCCCCACAGATTTCGAGAGAATAGCTATTAAAGGTCCATCCCAACAACATCTTATCATGTCTCTATAAACTGCTTCACAATAAGGACTCTCTTGTTGAGAGGCCTCACCATTATATGAAGAGATGGGAGGATGAAATCCAATGCTCAATTTCTTTGAAATATTGGCAGGTGATATGGGATTCAGCTGCTAAGACCTCTCATTGTGTTGTATATAAAGGAAACCTATATAAAATATTGATGCATTGGTACAAGACCCCTGTAGTGCTACATGCGATTACCCCAAATCTGTCTGACAAGTACTGGAGATGCATGGGAGGAGGAGGTACATTGGCAAACATTTTTTGGTTTTGCCCACAGATTTTGGGTTATTGGGCTACAATCAGAAAGGTATTGGAACAAGTACTCAATGCTATTCTACCCCTAGACCCGCTAAACTATCTTTTGGGGTTACCTTTTAGGGGTATCCCCAAGTGATCTAAAAGGTTGGGAGTGCATATTCTGACAGCCGATAGAAGGGTGATACCACAACTCTGGAAATCAGTAGATGTTCCCACGCTAAGTCATCTTTTAGGAGCGATCTCTGAAATCAGGGAAATGGAATATCTTACAGCTCTAGTGGGTGAACACTCAGGTCACTTTCACTCTATTGGGATTTATGGGATCCATTCTCCCTTTGTTAGACTTCCTTCCCCCCCCCCCCCTCTCCTTATATAGTCCAGACACTTTTCTAGGTAACATGCCTTTGACAAATACTGTATTTTTCGCATAAGACGCAGGTTTATTAGAGGCGGAAAACTAGAAAAAAAATATTCTGAACAAATGGACTGCAGACATTTACAGGAAATGACCTGAGACTGCAGACATATTACAGTAGCTTACCAGAGACATTTACATAGTACAGGAGATGACCAGAGACTGTTCGGACACAGTATAGAAGATGACCAGAGACTGCGGACACAGTACAGGAGATGACCAGAGACTGCAGATATATAGGAGATGACCAAGACTGCGGACACAGTTTTTTTGATGACCGGAGACTTTATACACAAGTATTTTTGAGATGGCCAGAGACTGCGGACACAGTACAGGAGATGACCTGTCCAGACTGCGGAACAGTACAGGTTCTGACACTGTGCCCTGTTCACAGTACAGGGGATGACCGGAGACTGCGGCATTTTACAGGGGATTACTCTTCCTGAGACTGCGGACACAGTACAGGGGATGACCCCTTAGAGCTGCGGACACAGTACAGGGGATGACCAGAGACTGCGGACAAGGAGATGACCAGAGTACTGCAGTGCAGGAGATGACCAGAGACTGCGGACACAGTACAGGAGATGACCAGACACTGACCAGGACTTTTACAGGAGATGACCAGAGACTGCGGACACAGTACAGGAGATGAGACCACACCTTACAGGAGATTCCACATAAGTCATGACCAGAGTCTGCAGACATACTATTCATATAAAGTCCCAACAGGGCCCCTCCACCCAATAGAAAGAATATCAAATGATCTGACACCATACATCAAGTAAAAAGGACTACAATCCCAGGCATCCATTTTTGTAACTTACACAAGGCAGGCTTTAGAAGGCAGGGGGCAAAGCACTTTCCGAGGACAGGCCACACCAGCAGATAGGACCGGACTGCAGAGCAGGGAGCGCACTATGGTGTCATGCCAGGAGCTGGAGGAGCTAAAATAGGCCACAAGTACAGACTATGGACACATGCCAGGAAAGGGGAGGAGCTGTAAAGGACAGGCCACACCTGCAGACCGGACTGGACTGCAGAGCAGGGAGCGCAGTACAAAGACATGCCAGGAGTGGGGAGGAGCTCCGAGGAGAGGCCACACCTGCAGGGCGGCCCGGAATGCAGACCAAGCTGGCTGGGTTCGGTGAGGGGACTGCCCCTGCTATGAAGAGCTGCGGGGACACACCGCTGAGAGAGGGGATAAGGTAGGGTGAACTTCGGTGATAGCCTGCAGTGGGTCAAGAGGGGTCAGCCAGAGTGGCCCTAACACAGGTGAC